TCTAAGTTAAAGGTTTACCACCACCACCAGGAGAATGTACAGTATGATACAAGTGTGTGTGACAGCCACCACGTCCCATTTATAACTAACCCCTCCCCTTCAAAACTTCTTCTAAGTTAAAGGTTTACCACCACCACCAGGAGAATGTACAGTACAATACAAGTGTGGACAGCCACCACGTCCCATTTATAACTAACCCCTCCCCTTCAAAACTTCTTCTAAGTTAAAGGTTTACCACCACCACCAGGAGAATGTACAGTATGATACAAGTGTGGACAGCCACCACGTCCCATTTATATCTAACTCCTCTCCTTCAAAACTTCTTCTAAGTTAAAGGTTTACCACCACCACCAGGAGAATGTACAGTATGATACAAGTGTGTGACAGCCACCACGTCTCATTTATAACTAACTCCTCTCCTTCAAAACTTCTTCTAAGTTAAAGGTTTACCACCACCACCAGGAGAATGTACAGTATGATACAAGTGTGTGTGACAGCCACCACGTTATAATTTAATCCACAAGCCCTCTCTTTTACAAAAATTATTTCATTACCTCCATTTCTACAAGTATTACAGCTTCAACCACCTTCTTTTTTCGTAGGTGGCTTTGAAGTTGTAATAGCAAGAACTTTTCTTGTACTGCAAGCCATGATGAAGCCATAATGGCGATAAGTTCACTTAACTATAACAGTTTTTTATTTTTATCTAAAGATTAAAGATCCTTTTTTTCGCCTAATTTTATTACCAAAAAATTCAATGTGTAGTTTTGCTCTGGTTCGAGAATATTGAAAATGTTCCAAGGACAAGCATGGTAAACCATATACATACCGAACCACACGTGGCTGTTAAAATAATAGTAATATATCACGCGAAGTTTTCAGACGGTCAGTGTATTGAGTATATACATGAAACATTGGCAAGTTTTACATTTGGTTATCTGGTATAATCTTGGTTCAGTCCGTGTACGTTTTATTTTATAGCACTCAATTTATAAAACTATATTTATGAGATCAACCTGAAGAGTATAACTTTTTTTATATGTATAATACATTAACATTATTATTATCACACATTAAACTTGAATAACAAATGTTATTTATTTTTTTAAAGTTTTATTGTACAACTTCACAATAACACGGTTAAACAAAGAAGGGCGCATTATTTGATACGTTCAGTGCGACACCTTGAAACTGACTACTAAACAATAAAATATGCACAATATGATAGCAACTGAATGAAGGTACAATAACTTCACAACATAAAATTGTTGCCTTCGTCTTGGATTCCAAATGACAAAAGTTGTATCCACATCACTCCACTACTTCCCTAGAAGTGTGCCCTCTATTGACCCGTTTTCTCCTCATCACTCTACCACTTCCCTGGAAGTGTGCCCTCTATTGACCTGCTTTCTCCACATAACTCTACCACTTCCCTAGAAGTGTGCCCTCTATTGACCTGCTTTCTCCTCATCACTCTACCACTTCCCTAGAAGTGTGCCTTCTGTTGACCTGTTTTCTCCCATCACTCTACCACTTCCCTAGAAGTGTGCCCTCTATTGACCTGCTTTCTCCTCATCACTCTACCACTTCCCTAGAAGTGTGCCCTCTATTGACCTGCTTTCTCCTCATCACTCTACCACTTCCCTAGAAGTGTGCCCTCTATTGACCTGTTTTCTCCACATCACTCTACCACTTCCCTAGAAGTGTGCCCTCTATTGACCTGCTTTCTCCACATCACTCTACCACTTCCCTAGAAGTGTGCCCTCTATTGACCAGTTTTCTCCACATCACTCTACCACTTCCATAGAAGTGTGCCCTCTATTGACCAGTTTTCTCCACATCACTCTACCACTTCCCTGGAAGTGTGCCCTCTATTGACCAGTTTTCTCCACATCACTCTACCACTTCCATAGAAGTGTGCCCTCTATTGACCAGTTTTCTCCACATAACTCTACCACTTCCATAGAAGTGTGCCCTCTATTGACCAGTTTTCTCCACATCACTCTACCACTTCCATAGAAGTGTGCCCTCTATTGACCAGCTTTCCTATAATGCAAAAAACACTTCCTCTCATTTTTGTTTTTAATTATTATTAAAATTGTTGGAAAATATTCGTTAAACATGATATTGTGGAAATATTTTGTTAAACATGATATTATGGAAATATTTTGACCAAAGTTAAACTCATAATCTAGGCCTAACTAACACTACTAGTACTGCGGTGGAGAATGAGGCTTCTGCTGGTGTTATATTATAGTATTTAACTAGTTGTTAGACTATATAGCTTTTATACAGTGTCTATTATAATTTTAAATGTGTGTTATTTTGTGATATTCAGAATACACAACGTCAATAAGTTTTAAGCACATTATTATTAATAATAGTATATGAAAAATTAATAATTCTGCCAAGATTTTAGTACAGTACATTTTGACGAACCAAATCTTAATTCCGTTGGCTTTCTAACCTATAACATTAGTTACTTTTTAACCCATCACATGTAGCAAACAATCAAGGTAAAATTATGATTCTATGCCCGAAAGCCCAAAATATAATGTAAGTCGCTAAACTGCAATTTTACCAAAATTTGTGATATGTTTTCATGACCATTTAAACCAGTCAACTGCACAATATCCTTGACTTTATTTTTAAAAAACTTTAATGTACAAATGTACTTTATGGTTGGCACATAAATAAAATAACTATTGAAACAATACAAGAGTATAAACCACCTCAAGTTGTACACACAACTAAATAAAAGAGTTGCATACGTCAGCAAGATGCTAAACTGCCTAGTGAATCTGACAATTTATCTACATACACACAATGATGGAAAATCTGAGCGATTCTTCTACAGATCGACTTCATGTGCGATCACGAGGCACGAGCACTTAATACCAGAGTGAAAATGATAATAACGACTGCTGGATAGTAGCGACGATAATTGTTATTATTGTTGAGTGTCCACGCTCGCTTCTGGACCGTGAAGGCGTGTCACGTGCTCCATTTTTTGACCAGGAGAAATAAAGCCCCGCCCACAGGTGTCGCACTTGTGAGGGAATTGTTTGGTGTGTTTGTAAATAACGTGCGATTTGAGGGTACTGGCCTGCGTAAAAGACTTTAAGCACAGCGAGCACGCGTAAGGTCGCTCCTTTGTATGTACACGAGTGTGACAGACGAGGGTATTAGGGAGCGAAAAGCTTCTACCGCAGTCTGAGCACTGGTAGGGCCGATGTTTGGTATGACTTTTCATGTGAGATTCCAGATTTTTCATGGCCACGAAAATCTTACCACAGACAGGACACGGTAAACTTCTCCCTTCCAAAAGCTTGTTGCTTCGATTTATCTTCCCGCGCTCTGATGACACATTTGATTTGTTGTCATCCCTATTCGCGTGAAGAGAGGAGACAGCCAATGGTAGAGCTCGTCGCTCGTATCCTTCATCGTGCACACGACCAGAAAATTGGCCCGGTTCCTTTGGAGCAGGACGATCAACCAAAACTTTGTGTCCAGCACTGTAATCCACAGTATTCATATGTTCTGTGGCTTATACTTTAAACCTCTGTTAACACAAATATCCTACCTACTGATCACACACCAGACATATATTGTACCTACGATAGTTGATACAGCCGCGTTCCCGCAAAGACTGATGGGAGCAATCACGCCGTCTCGTGCTGACTAATACTAGATACTCCATCCGTAAATAAATTTTGAAAAACAAAGAAAGAACGCTTGTAAAGTAACACCAAGTCTCAAAATTATCTAAATATTACAATTATATTAATGCTTTACTTCCCACTAGAATGACAAAATTTTTGTACATTACATATAAAAATTAGATATTAGTTTTAGACATAACATCTAAAATAAATCACGTAAAAACAATATCTAATGTTTACTGTATACAGAGGTAAAAACGCACACTTTATTTCAAACTCTAGTTCTACCCTCACTTTTGAAAATATCCTTATATATATGTACGTATAAACATTTGAAATAAATTACTTGCCTATTTTGTCTTGCTTTATTGCTATTACATTACAGTAAACTGATTTCCGGAGAAATCTTTATCAAACACATCCAAGTGACATTTCAGTATAGAAATAACCTGAAAGATGGCGTTATTACAGGAACGAGACAGTTTGGTCAGTTACGATGTGTGGCCTGTCCTCGGTTGGGACAACGATAAGTTTACGGTGTAGTAATACTACTAAACAAGTCACGTATTACTGCTTGTTGTTGTTTCCCAAAAGTGTAATTTAGCGCGACTTCGTCGGACAAAATAAGTAATGGGATGAGTACCACAACAATATTAAAAAACCTTGCCGGGACTGAACACGAAATTTCAACAATTATATGACCTGTAATGGGTATCCGATGGTGGCGCTAAAGGTTGTGACGTCCGCTACCCAAAATATATGTGTTCTCCTCCTTATATTTTTCTCTACACAACTATAGCTTCTAGATAATCCTGGGAAAATAAAAAATAATAATCAAGATTTATACAAATCCTTTACAGTTGGCCAATCACAATAAGAGGATCTAAAAGTTTTCGAGTGTTTCGCTTTGTAATTGTATGTGCCCATTTTGCCTATTATACAGGGCTTTGGGGCTTGATTCTTCCCAGGAAATGAGAATAAGTCTTACTTTCACCCACACTGTATATTGGTGACTCAATCTCCTTCTATTAACAAGAGAGAACCCTCAATAGCCGCGGCACTTGAAATTCGTTTAGACAGGATTAGAGTAAATTAATCTATAATACCCTGGGCGTGATCAAATATATCAATCGAAAGGGTTTGATCTCCTGAGCTCAAAACTGTAATTAGAGCTCGAATCGGTCAAAAAAATGACGGAGCTAATGAGCTAAACGTTTGTACTTGAAAAAAAACTAAGAGCCATTCTATGAGCTGCGATGTCACGGCTAAAAATAGAAACATGACTCTTTACTTTCGTGTCCCATTGTGGGTGAGCGATAACTTTACGAACTTACAACGCTAAAATCTAGAGTTCGATTCCCCACGGTGGACACAACACATAGCTCAATGTGGCTTTAGTCTATAAAATATACGGATTTTACCACCGTAAGATCCCCTGAATATTTTTAAAACAGCTGCAAAAAACCATAAAAATAAATCCATTCTGAATACAATAATCAGTAGTACCCCTAAAAGGGTGGGAAACTGGGGCAAATGTCCCAAGCCCGGGCAACCTAGAAGGCTGGGGATGAAGAAGTGAGAATTTGTAATTTTTTAAACATTAAAGTATGGTAAATTTATAATATATTAAAAATATACATAATACTTGTTTGTTTGTCTTGAGTTTTGCGCAAAGCTACACGAGGGCTATCTGCGCTAGCCGTCCCTAATTTAGCAGTGTAAGACTAGAGGGAAGGCAGCTATTCATCACCAACCACAGCCAACTGTTTGGCTACTCTTTTATCAACGAATAGTGGGATTGACCGTCACATTATAACGCCCCCACGGCTGAAAGGGCGAGCAGTTTGGTGGGACGGTGATTCGAATCTGCGACCCTCAGATTGCGAGTCGAGCGCCCTAACCACCTGGCCATATACATAATACAAAATCGCGCTCGAAGAAAGTTTGAATATTTACTAACAGGTGGCAGCTGTGTGCTGGAGGAGATATTCGCTTGGCTCAGAAGTTATTTGGAGTTCGCTAATTGACACAAGTGTTTCGAAAATTTCGTTTTCTCTCAATTCTCTTCATTACAAGTATTGGTTTTGCATTACGAATACTTATAAATCTACAATTGAAACTACTAAAATACTGTATTAAACAGTTAATCACTATTAAATGTTCCTAAATTACTTAAGTAGTAGCATTTGTTGTATTAGTGTGTTTGTAAAACAGTATTTCCCCCTCCCCCCCGTTCCAGAAATTTCTATTGGGGGCCTGCTAATTAGTTAAATATCTTGTTAGAAAAGTATTAAATTCTGCTTCATTAGTCCACACATCTATTCATCCTCAGCTCATTTCGTGTTACATTAAACACAGTTGATCATTCAATTAAAGCTCAGAAGAGCCTACAAATATCAATCTGTCACAAGCTTGACTTACTCGTTAAGTTTAATAAATAAATTTTAAGAATTAACATAATATTGTAAGCAGTGGCATATCTACGATTTTAGTTCGAGGAAAAAGGCAACCAACAAATTTAAGGAGACCTCAACCTATAAAAGTTGTATTGTAGTAGAAATAAAAGTGAGCTTGTTTTTGAACGATTTTTTTTAGAAGAGGTATATTCTGGCGAGGAAGAGTCATTTCAGTCGTCTTTTATAAATCTTACTACCAAGGTTACCATACATGCTTCCTTCATGAGACCACTCTGCAGAAGTAGGCAAGTTCTGGTTAATTAAAGACATTAATCGTTATATATTTATAGCTTCGTACTGATGTTAAGTTATAATTTATACCTTTATTGAAAATACTTTATTCTATCAAAAAAACCTCGAATATAACCTACAATTATCACATACAGCATCAATTAGAATGAAATGAAATTACCATACTGGGTAAACACGTTCAGCAAGTAAGGTTTGGTCGTGCCCTTAAAAGTCCCATTCGCCTCTTTATAATAATAAAAATTATTCACAAGGTAAGCATCGCGTTATGAGTACGCTGAGTAATCTAAAATGCAAAATTTGTAATATGTATGGCGGGATTATTAATTATATAAGGTCCAAATGGCAATAAAACAATAAAATTAAGTAGAAACTTACGTAGACTGTATGAGCTTTAAGCTATTTAGTATAAAAAATTGTAGTTTTCTGTTGCAATATGCAGTCATTCTAGAAATAAAAAAGGGTAATTTAGATTTATTTAGTATTTTTATGATAGTTACAAGATCGGCCAAGTTAACCGAGTATTGAGTAAAGGTAGAGAAAACAACAAATAAAATTTCATTGAGAAAAAAACGACGTTTGACATTTATTAGGAGGTTTTAGAAGTTACGCAAATGAAATTTGAACATTTTCAGATGAACTAAAGTATTTTTAACCTTAGCATGACAATCACCTTGAACTTGGAGCAGTCAACACTCTGTTTCCATATATTCACAAGCAAATCTTTAGGAAAAACACTTAATTAGAATATCTGATTTTTTGTGTATCAATGATGCGAAGATTTACTTACCATATTCAAAGTTATAATAATGTTTTAATTCCTTAATTTTAGTCCTCCAGTAGGTCAACGGTAAGTTTATGGACTTACAAAACTAAAATCCAAGGTTTGATTCCCCGTGGTCGAGAGAATACAGACAACCTATTCTGTAGCTTTTAGCTGAAACAAACAAAGAAAATTTCGAATTTTTATTTTTGGAACCTTCACCAGTTTTAAGGATATAATTTTAAAAGTATCATTTGTACACGAGATATTTTAGTCTTATTTGAAATATTGATAAAAAAATCAAACCATTTCTTTAGCTTTGGTATAAATTCTGGATCGAATTCTTATCATATACATTGTAATTCCCAAAATTATTGTATCTAAAACCTCATAAACAAAATGTAATATACTGATAGCTCTTTGAAAGCCAAAATGAATATAAAAATGTTGTATGAAAAATATCGTTAGATGGCACAACACACGCTTTAAGAAAACAGGCGATTTCAGAATATGTGTTGAATCCATATAATTTTATATTGTCCTTTAAGGCAAAATAAACAAATATAAATGACAGGTTGGAATTTTGTTAAAATCCCTTGAAGAATGTATTTTTCTAATTAAATCATATAACCGAAAAATTCCGATTCAAATGCCGGAAGAAGATGAAGTACCCAAAAGCAATAGGCCTAAAGTTTATGATAAAAATACTATCACAAGGTTTAAACCTACATATTTATTTCAAGTACCATCACTAATTAAGACAAATGGAAGTACGTTTGGGAGAAAGAAAAAAAAATGTTTTATCCAATAAAGTAATAATAAAATGAAACTTAAGAAAACCTAATAAAAACATACGAATTAGGGTCATTAAACTCTAACTTAGATGTCTTTAAAATTCGCAAATAACTTCGAAATGGTCCCACGATGGAACAGGGGTAAGTTTACTGACTTACAACGCTAAAATCCGAGGTTCGATTCAATACAGTGGACGCAGCAAATAGCCCAATCTGGCTTTGCTCTAAAACAAACAACTTCGAAATGCCATCTTCAAGCTAAGTATATGCATAAACTAAAACGTAAAAACTTAAGACAACAATATCAGGTCATAGTTTTGTTGCTAAGTTACACAGACGAACGTGGCCTTACCAAAAGACATCTGGTTTTTATATATGTTAGATAAATAACTTTATAATTAAGGAATTATTAGTAATAAAAAGTCGTACTGACTACCAAGCTTGGCTGCAGGTTAATAAACATTTAAAGACCTACTTTCATGATTGAAAATCGGTAAGGCCTACATTTAAAATCTAGATATCCGTGAAATTAATTACGGTTGTTTGATTGTAATCTTGTAGATCTTTCAGAGCTTGAGATTAAACAGATTTGTTTATATAAAACTTGAAATAAAGATACAAATAAAAAAATACAAAATGTATGTTGCTCATCAGATAGTACCACAGATCAAAATGGCATATTTAAAGGCATAATGGTTGTATTTGTTTGCCCAGTACACAAATGCGAATATTCTATAAAAAAACAAACATTTAAAGCGAATATATATGACACCTTTCATCGGCACAAACACAGGTGGACAGCTGCCCCAAAAGGCCCACCTGGCCCAAATAAGCCCCAACCCAAAAATGTTCCACTTTTCAGATATATAAAATTAATACATTTTGGACCCAATGGTTCGTATGATGATGCTCAACACAACACGTTTAGGCCCACTTGTTTGATTTCCAAAATTAACAATTTAAGGAACAAGGGGATCGCTTGTTACATAGTGTTACGACAGCGGAAGTCACGTGAACTGGTAGCACGTGATGATATTCTAAAAGGATCGGGGAACCTCACGAACGTCTCAGCGTTTGCTAGACACCCTCTATTTAAGCCTGCAGATAAATTGATAACGGGATAATCGAGTCAAGCCGTAAGTAAAGTGTGTAAATCATTGTGAATTATAGCGTGTGTTGAAGTTAAAGTGACTGTGGAAATTCTGTGTATTGCAAAGTTGTATTGAGGAA